CTCCTGTTGCTTTCCAGTGCGCGAGTTGGGCGGGCGTGGAATTGGCAGCAGGGCCAAGATAGGCCAAAACCGACCATGCTGCATGTCTGGCTGCGGGGCGGTTGGGCCAGGCACAGGTGCCGTCAGTGAACAGCTGGAGTTCTGTGGCCGCAGTTGCTTGAAGCAATGGCCGTGTATCCTGTGGGTCATGGAGTTCTCGGCTGCGCCAAAGCAAACGCAGGAAGGGCTCCTGGTCGTGCTGCTGCGGGAAAGGGCAGTGAATCCATTGGGGCTGTTCTTCTGTGATCCATTCCAGGAGAGGTTGGAAGTGGTGCCGGACCTTTTCTGTAGCCGGGCAGCCAAGCAGGCGGTGTGACTTCGTGTCAGACTGGCCGCAGAGCTCACACTGGGGACATTGCAAGGGGTCCCATGTTGAGCGTGCACTGTTTGACTGGAACGCACCAACAACTACCTGGGCAACATGTCTTTGCTGGCCGGGCGAGAGTGTCCTGAGGACAGCGTCCGTGACAGCAGGTGCAGGTGGGGCGACAGTGCGAAGGCCGTTGCGATGGCCAACTTTGTCCGGTATTGTATCCAGCCATGCGAGGCGAAGCATCGCTCGTATGTGTTTGGGGCGGTCTGCAATCAATTGAATGGCTGCGTGGCCGGGTCCCAGCATAAGTCCGTTCGCCTTCAAGACCCACCCGTGGCGATCAAGGAGTCGTGCCAGTGAAGAAGCCGGACCGATCGGGCGGCAGCCAGTGCCCTGCATGGAAAGGGTCGCCTGAAGCCACGCCTGCCCTTGACACTCATTGACGCGCAACATCCGATGTAGTGCAACAATGGTCTGGCAAAAGTGGTACAGCTCCGGATCCATCACCCGAGGCGTGAGGGCAGAAAGCGCCAGCAAGGGGCTGGCGGAGGGCCTGTCGCCAATCATGGCTTTGGTGGCCTTGGTGCGCAGTGAGGTCACAGTGGCCTCTGGTAGGAGCCGGCCCTCTGCGCCGTATAAGGTAGCCGGCCAAATGCTGGACTGAATCAAGTAAGCCGCTTCCAAGGGCGACTTGTGACGCTGAGCCAACAGATCAAGGCGACGATGACCTTCGGAGATTCGCTGAGTGGCAGACTGCAGCCCACCAATGGGACGGAAGCGGAAGGCAACACCAAGGTCTTTTGCATGCTGAACCATCTGCAGGATGGTCCCCGGTGGAAGTAGTTGCTGGGCCGGGCCTTTAAACCACACACGGAGGGGCTTGTTGGTCGCCCAGCAGAAGGACTTTCGCCAGTCAATGGGCAATTTGAGAGCCCGGCAAAAAACCTGGGCATCAAGCAATGCGTCCTGGAGGCCGCGGCAAGTGGTGGCAGTCCATGTGAGGTTGTCCACATAGGATGATAAGGAGGCGTCATCGCACAAGGGGCGTTGATCAGCTGCCCAGCACACAGCAACCTGAGCTAACACCGAAAGAAGACAACCCTCCGGCATCCCGGTGGTGGACATGATTGGGGCACCGATGCAATCAAGGAAGACTGGCAGCCGGTGGCAACTGGCAAGCATGTCAAACCAAGGATGTAAGATCGTTTCAGGCACATGCAGATGCCCAAGCAGGTGGCGGAGAGGGAGCCTGGCCAGTTGATTAAAGCATTTGACCACATCCAGCGAGAAACCGCCCGGTGGCCGTTGGGCCAGAAGACTTGCTTCCACTTGCAGCTCAATGCCCAGCGAAAGGTCGCGTACGGAGCGCCCCGGCGCGCAGCCGGTAATGCCCTTGGGCAGCCACTCCGCCCGCTGACGGAGTAGACTTGTGCACATGGTGGCAGACCACAACCGATAAAGGCTCGCAAAGATGGTGATTGGCCGGGACTGTTCCATGCCGGTGGGCTGAGTGACTTTAGCGAGGCTCGAGACAGTCGCTCTGCCGAGGTGCTTTGGCCACCCGTACACAGAACATTGCTTGAAAAGCGCAAAGAGATCACGAAGCGGTGCTTCTGGCAGCCATTTCAATTCAGCAATGGCAAAACCGCAGTAGCCGGTGGCGCTCCTGGGATTCATGCGTTGCAGCTGGTGCTGCCACATGCTAATGTCATCCAGATCGATGACTGTAGCCCTGACCCGATCGGGAGGTTCAGGTAAAGAGGTCACGAAGTCCTCCCAATGGGCAAGGTCTGTGCGGGCAGGACCCGTGTCCCTGTTCCAAATTGGTGACCAGTAGTTAGCAAACTGTCTTTGGAGCTCTCTGGGATTGGAGGCCTCTGTAGGCTGGCATAACTGGAAAGCGACAGGCAGAGAGCCGTCGAGGTGGCGGAGCCAGAGCCGCGGGCCGTGAACCTCGTCTTGCTGAAGTGACCCAACCTGAACTGAACCAGACGACGAGGAGGCGGGGCATCCCTCTCGGAAGAAACTGGGCTCAGGCAGCCAGTAGAGACCCCAGCCATCTTTGGCACAGCAGTGGAGCGTGGCAGGCTGCTTCTCCAATACGGGTAGTGCCTGGAAAGGCGGATGGCTAGGGCGGCGTAGGGCTTTGAATTGTTGCCCGAAGCCCGTGGTGGCATCAAGCCTATTGCGATAAACCTGAAGTTGCTTGCGGCCTTTGTCTTCCTGGCGGACTGTGGCCTCGCAGTCGAAACGGACAAATGCAAGCACGTCCTGCAGCCATTCAGTTGCGGGGAATGCATCCGCCACTTGCACAGGAGGGTCGGCGGAGCTCGGGCCATAGAAGAACACTTCCAGGGGGGCAGCCTGCATTAGCCATTGCATGAAGTCCGGTGGGTAGGCCCGGGCTTTTAAAATGGCAGCCCACTCTGCCATCAGTCTTTGAGGCTCGGGACACGCTGTTGGCCCCCCGTCGACGCAGAGTGACGAGTTGTGATGTAAAGGCCTGCAGCCTACGCACCTGTTTCACCTTGGCGCGGGAGCGCACAGTGAGGGCCTCGGCGGGAGGTTGGTAATCACCCGCGCGGGCTCCTGGAGCGGCAATGGGGCCAGGGCGCGACTTGACAAATCGGTAAATGCAGCGCCCGCGTGCTGACCTGGGCAGAGTGGGAACCGGATGGCGTAGCGGGTCTTGTTGGTGAGCCTGTGACATGGCAGAACTTACAGCCTCTTCGACCCTAGCTGCCCACAGCTGGAAGAGCTGATCCAGGTCGTCCCGCGAAGAGCAGGCCGCAATGGCTTTGGAGAAGGTAGCCTGTCCTGGGAGGTAGGCAGCATTGGCAAGGCTGGCACTCGGCTCAAAAGGCATCCAACTGTGGGGCTTTCGCCAAACCTGCCGGCAAGGGTTGGCTTGCGGTAGCCGGAAAAGCAACTGCACTGGTGCGTGGGAGTCGAAAAGGTGACATGCTGTTGCCACATGGGCATGCAGGAACAGTTCGCGGAAGGCAGGTGGCAGGAGCACTGTGTCATGACGCGTGCTGCCCCGGCAGGTCGGTGGCAACTGGTAGCCGTATCGGTGCTGCACATGTTGGAAAAGTTCCACATAGCCGATAGAAGCAAATTTGTCCCAGGAGGGCAGTGTGGTGACGTCAGTATTGAGGTCGCCGCCTATCAGAGTCGGCAAATGACAACCAGCAACAACCTGCCAAACGAGCTCAAGCAAAGCATCATTTTTTGTCCTGGAGGCTGCGTGGTTAGCAGGCCAGCCATACACGGCAACCAAGCGGGCATGCAGGGGTCCAATGCGCACATGCGCCACAGATATGCGCTGGGAGGAAAGCAATTCGGCGGGTAGCTGCTGAAAAGGCTGGCGCAAGGGGAACAGTGAGGCAATGGCAGCGCCGGACGCGTGACCTCGTAGGGAACTGGCCCCTGTGCTTGTTGTGGTATCATGTGATGCGACAGGCGGACTCCACGCCAAGGAATACCCGACGGGGCGGAGGCGGGCGGTAACAATGTCTTGTGCTTTGGCCACCGCCGCTGTCTCTGAGACGAAGGAAATTTGGGACTGCAGTTGGCACAGCTCGCTCTCCTTGTTCAAAATGGTTGTGGGGTTCACCACCGAAACCCGAAAAGTCTCTTCCAGTCCTTCCTGCGATGTGGGAGGTTCGCCAGTGAGAAGTGGCTCACCCTGGGAGCTGGTGGCGCCCGGTTGGCTGTTGCAGCTCGGTTGTGGAGGGCAGCTGGCGCGGGCTGTTTGTGCAGACGGGAAGAAGGAAGTCAGGAGCGCATTGCAGGGGGGGCGTCCGCCATCAGGGCGGGTATGCACACGGGTTGGGCAGAGGGCGGCCGCTGCTGAAGCATTTGGCCGAGGAGATCGGAAGGCTGGTGCCGGCTTGAGAGCTGTTGCGGGGCCTGGATGACTGGCTTCGCCAATGCGCTGGCCACGGTGGGTGGCCAGGAGCTGCTGTGCGGAGAGTGGCAAAGGAATGCTTGGGCAGGCCGTCCCACAACAACCGGGGCCTTTTGTAGACGATGATGATCGCTGGCAGGCCGAAAAAACACATCTCGGTGATGCAAAGGGGCCTGGTGTATGCCCAGGCAAAATCAAATAGGGGAAATAGGCCCCCAGATATCTGGTAGTAGACCTGTAGCTCGGGGCCGCAAGGAATGTGGGAAGAGCCAGGGAACCAGGGAGGCTATCGCTCACAAGGCTCGGGCAAAATACAATGGTAGTGCATGTCGTGTGCCGTCTAGCCGCATTGTCAGTTGCCATTGGGAACTGGGGAACTGAGATGGCGTATGACAAGGAGGGACCGGGGGCCCAAAATCGCAAAGGCGGCGCCAATGATAAGACAGTTGCATCGGAGCACGTACGGCCGAACCGGCTTTGTGCTGAACGCTTAGACCCCATATTTATTTTAGTAGACCAAAACAGCGCTGTTGGCTGATGGTGCGAGGCAAATTGGCGGTGCGAGCCAGGGCAACAGACCCCGAGCCATGGCTTGACACAGCGGCAAAAAGTTGAGGGCAACGCAAAAGAGGCAATGGACACATTGCCGCGGTAACCAGGGGGGCCACCTGCTAGAGCAGAGGCCGACTGGCGAACCCCGTTGGAGAAGGTAAACCTGGGAGCACAGGAGGGCCAGAGTCACAGCTCTGGTTCGTCCGACTTTTTCGCTTTCTTGGAGGGCTCACGAGTTTCGCGGCAGGAAAGCATAAGGTGCTTAAGCTCGTCCAGGCTAGACTGCATCTGTTGTTGCTGCTGGCGCTGGGTGCCTTGCAATGATTCAGTGGACAGGCAGAGTTGTTCTGCAAAAGCGGCGCTCATCATGCTCATCTGCTCCTGTATTTGGGAACTGGAGGCAGAAGCCCTGTCACGATCAACTGCTTGTTGCTGAACAAGTTCCTGGTGATTGGATTCTTGGCGTACCCGCAGGGCCTCCAATCCTTCCTCAAGCACTTGAAGCCTTGCCTCCTGCTGCTGGAAACGGCTTTCCGTGGGGCCTGCAAGAGCACGGCCGCTGTTGGAGGAGGGCACAGAAGATGCAGAAGTGTTGCTGGCAAAGCTAGTGGCCAGTGCTGTGGAGCGTACTGCGTGGGACCATGGGTCCGAGTGTAGCCATGGATCCTCGGTGCTGCCCAGGTTGGGCGCGTTTTTGGCGGCAGGCTTGTTCAGCCCGTGGGCCTGTCGAGTGCCAGATTGCACAACCGGTTGTGCCTGCTCACGCTTGTTTAAAGGCTCAATGAGAACGGCTTGGCCGTTGAAGGTGGGGAATTCCGTTGCAGGGTCTGTGCTGGCACCGATCAACCAGTGGCGGGCTCCTAAGCTTTTGATGACTCGCACATTCCACGCGGACCTGCCGGCCCATGCAATGATTTCCGTAGCTCCGGCCTCAGGTGGCAGGGGGCCTATTTTGAACATCTTAGACACCGTCACCTTCTGGGGCACCATTTGTCCAGGGCGCAACTGCGCGAAAACATCAGCGAAGCGTGTGGCGGGAACCCGCAATCCGTAGCGATTCTTGACTCTTGCGAGGCCCAACTGGCCTGGCACTTGGAGCGAGGCTCGCAAGGCCTCAGCACGTGAGTTGCCGATCCAAATGATGGCGTATGAGTTCAAGATGCTGCGATCCATGGCCCTGGGAGTAGCATAGAAATGATTGTGTCCGCTGGCAGCAAGAAGAGCATCAAGCTTATCAGTTGCGACCCGGGCCTGAAAGGAAAGCTTGTCAGCAAGTGAGGGCAGGGCCGGCTTGGCGGCCTGGCTAAAGAAGCGTCCCCATGGGGAGTTGAAGGGTGTCGATCTCGACCCCCTGCTTGCGGAAAGCCTCAACAGCACTTCTAACAGGCGATCGAAGGATAGTCTGCCAAGCTTCAGCTTCGAGTTCGTCTGCATAGCAGTCAATTGAGCAGCAGTGCTGGTTGGGGAGCTCAACCTGAATGTCGTCTGCAGCTTGCTTGCGTATGCGCCTTCCGCCGATGTTGTGGAGGCAACCTGCCAGCAGAAGTTTTGAACCACAGGCCGCTGAAGTTGCTGGGAAAGTCAAGTGCCCATTGCATTCATCTGGGGCGGGGCAACTGTGACCGAGCACGAGGAGGCCCAACTCATCTGGTTGTACCCCATGCAGTGCCCGCAAAAGGCCGATGGCATCCGTTTCATCTACGAGCAAGATGCCTGACACTCCCGGCTGGATTGAGGAGAGAACATTCGCTGGGGAGCCGTTCTCGTTGAGGAAAAAACCTGGTGACAAAATGACCTCTGCAGCTGTGATGTGCATGCGATTCTGCTTGTGGCGCTTCTGCATGGAGGCGCGGGCCCGGTTTTCCGCCTTAGCGGCCAAGTTTTTGGCCGCATCAAGCAACGCATTCCATCGGTCAGTTGATGGGCCATCTTGGAGGGTCTGTGACAGTCGTTGGACCCCTGCAGCGGCCGCAAGTTGGTCGACAAATTGCTGTGTGGCTTCGAGATCAACTCCGTTGGCAAGGCAAAGGGAAGCGGCTTTAGTCTTAGCCCAATTGGCTGCGTCAGCTTTGGCTCCACCCCCGCGAAGTTCTGGGTGTACAGTGAGCAGCAGTCTGCCAGAGCGGCGAATCACACAGGAAGACGGATCTTGGAGCATTTCCTGCAGCATGGTCTCCGGTACCTTTGGGTGTGGGCCTGAGAAGACACGGTGACCGGGCGGATAGCTGCATGACACCGCTGCTGCCTGCCACCAGGTGGAGATCTGAGCCAGTGTGACAGAAGCAGGCAGGCGGCCTGTCCACAAACGCAAAGCAACGAGCTGAACCTCAACTTCAGCGCCTGGCGCGGTGCTGGGCACAGAAAAATGCTCAAGTTTTGCAACAAACATCCAAACGCGCCATGCATCCAGGAGAATGTCTGCGGGCATGTGCAACATGTCGGCGCGAGGGCGCATGTCAAGCACAAGCGGGCCAGGCTGCCCTGCGGGAGCAAAAGTGGCAGTGCTTTCCCATCCGATGGCATCAAGTATGTGAAAAGGCAGCCGCATCCAAACATCCAGTACTGCGGTGGCCTGCGCCTGTAACCTGAGGCCTCCGGTGGTCCGGCACACTGAAATACAGTCGACATGTGGCCCTATGCCAGCCAGGGACAGGATCGGAAGATCATCAGATTCCGGGGCTGCGACAATGCAGGAGCTGAACTGGTCAGTGTGTAATAAACGCTGGCCGCAGATCGAGAAGATGGCTAGTTCTCCGGGGCCGGGCTCAATGTCACGAAAGAGTCGGAGAAGCTGCGACCACGTGCGAGGGGTCGAATGCTCAAGCACGAAAGCGCCCTGGGCAGTCAGCGCAACACAAAGTCCATCCTTTGTTCCACAACTCCCAGCAAAGCCTCCGAGGTTAAGTCCTGGTGGATATGCCACCGGGACCGACATCGCCTGGAGGTGGCTGGACAGGTCAGAGGGCAATCGGGCAGAAACCTCCGGGCAACCCATAAAACTGAACAAGCGAGCAGGCTCCATGTCAGGTGGTGCTTGCAGTGCAATGGACCCTGACGGGACCTGCAGCTGGATCGTGATGAAGGCCTCGGGCACTTGTTCATCGAGGTCTGGGGCCAAGCGATGCCCAACATTGGCCAGAACATCTGCTGTCTGCTCCTGGTGGCAGAAAATCCAGTCAGTGCCTAGAGGCATAAGCACTGTGTTGCGGTTGTGAAGACGGGAGGCCATGCACCATCTTATGGCTTCGGCAGGTTCAGGCGCTTTAGGGAGACCGGCAGCAAGACACACAATGGACAATGGCGCCAACGCATGTGGCACTGCTATCGCGTTGCCTAGCAGCTTCATCTGCACTTTGTGATCATGATGCAAGAAGACCGGGCGGACGGCGCCGTGTATGGCTGCTATCTCTGGCCCTGAGAAGAACCTGGCAATGCCTTCATGCAACACAAGTGTTCCCATAATACCCTTCTCAAGCATGTGCGGAGGCAGGAGGTGCTGAAACTGGTATTGTGCCATGAATGTGCTGGCAACATCCGTTGCCTTGCGCAAACGAAAGTCAATCGGACGCTGTGGGCGCAAGCCAGGTCGAGACGGGCTGGGGATGTAGTATGGGTCCATGTAAACGGCCATGGTCGCTTCGTCCGGTGTGTTGGCGGCCTTCAAGGTGGGGGGCAGGGGGATCAAAACCTTACCCAATCCTAGGTTCAGGCGTTTTTCCATGTTCCATGCTCCGACTGTGAAGGCTTTTGGGGAGGCTGTCAGCCGGTGTCCAAGTACCAACAGAAAACGCTTCCTGTGCCCAGGCAAAACATCGACCAAGTCAAGACTGGCTCGCCATAGGATTTGATATCCTGCTTCGCTCCACGCGTTCATGATAAAACCAAAGTGCGGATGATCAGGGAAGTTTGCGACTTGTTCGAAAGCAACCCAAGGAGTGCGAAAAACCCCCAGGATGTCAATGATGCGTAGCATAAGCATGCCTTCTTCGGAAGCCACCCCTGATTCGCTGCCCGCGCGGGACCATGGTTGGCATGGGGCCGAAATACAAGCCAGCTGTATGGGACTGAAGTTAAAAGCTCGTAACCACCAGTTCCAAGTCACATCGGCGCAAACATGAAAGTGAGGTTTGTTCTGGGCTGCATAAAGGTCCTGTAGTGTAGATACCTCAAGCCATGCTGGTTGCGCTAGCATATCACTACAGTCTGGATCCACGTCAATGGTCCATGCCATGTGTGCCGGGACTCCATTACGATGTAGAAGAAAAGCAGCCTGAGACCATCCTGCGAATCCCCCGCTGAAGAATTCCGCTGCTCGCAACGTCGTGTCATGCCGCAGAGAATGAGCGGTAACAATCACCGAGCGCATGTCCGTACAGTCCAGAATATAGGTATTGTCCTGACCCCGGAACTGTGCCTGGAGAAGCTTGACAACTCCCGTGGCTGCCTCAATCATGGGCCAATCTGCGCTCCTGAGAAGCATGAGCACCCGGCGTTGTGGTGACTCAGAGGACACCATCTCACCTGTCTGTGCGGGCGCAGACAGGACGTCTGCCCTGATCTTGACCTGGCTGTTCTCAAAAATCGGTTCTCCAACAATCTGGACACAGAAGTTGTGTACCTGGCCCTCGAGGGCTGGCGAGAGTTGCTGGGCTTGCTGGAGCAAACGTTTCCATTCAAGATTAGCCAGAGGAGAAAGGTCTGTTCTGTGTATATTGCCAAATGTTTGAGTGCCCATGGCCCGATTGGCGTCCTACCCTAGTAGGAGAACGGCACTGCCCCGTGTAGGCTCGGGCCGAAGTGCTCCTAAACCCTAGACCCTAAACCTTAAACCCTAACCCGAACTCCTACCTTGGACCTTGCAATGCCTCCGAAATCCAGATCGCCGACTTCCCGGCACAGGCCAGGATCTGCAAGGGTTTAGGGTTTAGGGCCAGGGAGTAAGTGGTTGAAGGGCTCAAAGGGTCGGGTATCAGGCCTTCGTTAAGAGGCACAAGGTTTTGGGTGAAGGTTTTTGTGATGTGTTTCTTGGTTTTGCAGGTTTGAGGGCTTCCGCATGTAGGGTTGCCACTACCAGCATGATTCTTCAATTTTGCAGCCAGTGCTGGTTTACTGACTGAGAGAATTTGATGTTTTAGATTAGACTTTGGGCTCTAATCCGTAATACAGGCGCCTATAAATAATCACCAATACCACCCCCGGGGTTCCTTTTGATAAGTATAATACAAAGTACCTCAAAACCCTATTCTAGTTTTTAAGGCCCCTGATCCGTAAGCCCTAAACCCTAAACCCTCAACCCTCATCTGTAAGCCCTAACACCGAATCCTAAACCCTAAGCCCTAAAGCCCAAACCCAGGAGCGGTTGGGTCATCCGGGAGCAGGAAGCAGCGTCTTGAAAAATCCTCCCTCTGTGATCTGCCTATTTGTCGATCGATCGATCTACCTAGCTACCTACGGTTGATGATACCAATCCCACATTACCCATAATAAGGAATATACCATAACTCCCATAGTCTAGGGTAATTAAGGTGATGCAGGATTCATATCATCAACCGTATGTACCTATCTATCTACCTATCTATCTATACATACATGCCCTTGCATACACACATGTACAGGTTCATGCCCGACAAACGCGGCCTATGCTCCACACCCCCTGCACCCAAATAAACATTGTTTGTCATATTCTGCCTTTGGCTCCGGCAGGAAAGATGTCAAGTTTGTCTCCGAATCGCAAGTCAAATCTTCTGCCGCTAGGAGGCTACAGCCTTTGAAGGTCTGGTTCAGAGTTGGGGGTCTCGCCATGCGATAGAAAAGAAGCGCTCAGAGTCCAAACGACTACACCCAAGATTCGAGGAAAATGCTTTCCCGGACGTGCAACATGTCGATTACCGTGACAGTCGGGTTGCTCAGTGGCCGAACAGCTTCTGTGGAGGCCGGCTTGGATGAGGACGTGGAAACACTAAATCGCCGGGCACAGGCCGCATTGAGAGCCGGAAAAGGGCGACTGCTGGACGCATCTGGAAGGACTTTGGATGGATCTTTACTCCTTAAGGATTCAGGATTGCAGCCCGGTGACTCGTTGACTTTTCACATAAAGCATGTCCAGGTATGTGGCGCAGTCAACACCTTTGCTGCCATTCTGGGCGATGGATCCGTCGTGACCTGGGGCTATGCTGGGACTGGTGGTGACAGTCGTGCGGTGCAGCATCAGCTGAAAAATGTGCAGCAAGTCCAACACACTGGATTTGCTTTTGCTGCTATCCTCGGGGATGGATCTGTCGTAACTTGGGGTGATGTTAACCACGGTGGTGATTGCAGTGCAGTGCAAGATCAGCTGAAGAATGTGCAGCAGATCCAAGCCTCTAGCAGCGCTTTTGCTGCCATTCGTGGAGATGGTTCTGTCGTGACCTGGGGCAGTGATTTTGCTGGTGGTGACAGTAGTGCTGTTCAGGGTCAGCTGAAGAGTGTGCAGCAGCTGCAAGCCTCCTTCGGCGCTTTTGCCGCCATAACTAAAGGTGGAACTGTCGTGGCATGGGGTGAAGCTGGCCGTGGTGGTGACAGTAGTGTTGTGCAGGATCAGCTGACGAACGTGCAGCAGATCAAGGCCTCTCAGAGCGCTTTTTCTGCTATAGTCGGCGATGGTTCCGTCGTGACGTGGGGAAATGTCTTCTGCGGTGGTGACAGTGCTTCTGTGCAGGATCAGCTGAAGAATGTGCAGCAGATCCATTCCTCTCAGAACGCTTTTGCTGCCATCCTTGTCGATGGATCCGTGGTAACCTGGGGTATAGCTGGCACTGGTGGTGACAGTAGTGCTGTGCAGCACCAGCTGATCAATGTGCAGCAGCTGCAAGCCTCCTTCTTCGGCGCTTTTGCTGCCATTCTTGCTGGTGGATCGGTCGTGACCTGGGGTGATGCTGACGTTGGTGGTGACTGTAGTGCTGTGCAGGACCAGCTGAGACATGTGAAGCAAATCCGAGCCTCAGCAGGGGCCTTTGCTGCTATCCTAAGCGACGGATCTGTCGTGACCTGGGGTGATGGTCTCGGTGGTGGTGATAGCAGCGCTGCGCAGGATCAGCTGCAAAATGTGCAGCATATCCAAGCCTCTGAGCGAGCTTTTGCTGCCATTCTTGGTGATGGATCTGTCGTGGCCTGGGGTGATGCTCGGGCTGGCGGAGACTGTAGTGCCGTGCAGAATCAGCTTAGGAATGTGCAGCAGATCCAGGCCAGTGATCGTGCTTTTGCCGGAATCCTTGGTGATGGAGTCGTCTTGACATGGGGTGATGCCAGCTATGGTGGTGACAGTACCGCTGTGCAGGATCAGCTGGCGAACATGTAGCAGAACAGCGTGTCTCGGCTAGCTGAAACCTTCGCGCGCAGTCTTTTGCCACTCAGACCCTAGAGTAATTGCATACGTCTGGCACAGGTTCTGGTGGGCATCACCTACAGCCTCATCATCACCAACAACCTCGTCATCTGGGTCATACCTTTCATATTTGCCATCGCAGTCATAGGCCGTTTCTGAACACAGACCTGTAAACACTGGCACCATCATAAATCGCGGAAATGGCCATACTCATCTTATAGTTACTCACACGACCTAAGCAGACAAATATTGACACAATCACCAGTGCCAATCATCACCTAAATCCTAAACTTAACCGTAACAGGCTAATCCTAATAACCCTGAACCCGAAACCCTAAACCCGCAAACCCTAAACCCTAGGACCCCAATAACCCTAAACCCCCAACAGAGACACTGAGCCCAAGACCCCAGCCGATAGACCCTGTTTCGGTGCTTCGGGCTCCGGGCAGACGGGGAACAGGAAGCAAACTAAACACTGTATGGTTTAGGGTGTGGGGTTTAGTAGCCTGGACCCCAAAAATATGTAGAATAATAACCCTCTATAGCCTTAACATTAGGTTGCCTACTTTAAGTTGAGAGCTTTAGGTGGCGATGATGGCATTCGCCTTTCCTGGCAGGCCCTCAGTCATCTCGCTTGGGCATACACGACACTCCGCTGTGACTCATCTCTGCAATGCCGGTGGTTGAGGGTCTCTAGGGTTTACATGTATAGTAGAAGCGAGAACGGTGGAACATTGCGCATGCCCTGCAGGTAAAGTATACAGGATCCCAGTACTAATCATCTCCTATCAATGTTCCCGTTCTGGGGTTCCCTGTGGCCTTCTGTTTGTGGCGTCTTGGGTTGTAATGTAGGGTCCAGGGACGCAGGATTCAGGGTTAGAGCGCAGGGTCTGAATGTAGGGTTTAGCGTGAGAGTGTAAGGTTTAGGGCTTGTTGGAGGAGTCTACTTGAAGGGTGTGGGAATTGGTAAATAGTGAGTTTACAGAGTTATAAGTACCAGGAACCCAACTAGGATACCTTTTCTTGATACCTACAATTCGACTTATCATTACCCACTTACTAGTCCCCTGACCCTCCAGGTAAACCGGGCCGCTGACATGAACCCTCTCTGCTGGGGCTCTCGTCGCCCTTACCCATAGGCCACATAGTAGTTCCTTTTTTGGGATTACCTTAAAGGATTCTAAGTACGAACCCCATAAAGGAACTACTATGGGGCCTATGGGTATTCGTGGGTATTAGGCCTCAGGGTTTAAGAGTACGTAGGAGAGTGCATTTGGCAGTCTGGCTGGGGTTTGTGTTCAATGTTTAATGCTTAGCTCTAGACGGTCTAGGGTTTTGGCAAAGAGTTTTGGGTTTTGGGTTTAGGGGAGTTCAGTGATTCAGGGGTTGGAGTAGAAGGTCCATTAAGACATGCGGGAAGCAGTGTTGTGAGTTGTAATGCTTCGGACGTGGATGGATGCTGCAACACTGTAGGTGGGCTTTCCCTCGCTCCGTCCACGCCCCGCTCATTCCAGGAAGCCAATTACATATGGGCGCGTGATGTGCAGCAACTCATGCGGCCACATACACATACAGACATCCATGCATGCATGCACACGTACATACATGTATATTTACATACATGCATGCATGCATACGTACCTATATACATCTACACCTGCATACATACATGCATACTAACAGAATGGTATGCAACAATAGGAAACATGCTATACTGTAGGATATCACAGTGTAATATAATACATCAGAACGTATTGTAGAAATAAGATATACAGTGGCACAATGTGATGCAATGTAATTTATTATAGTGGAATACAAGGCAACATGAAATGGTATATCATACACATCATATATATATATACACATACATACATACAGTCATGTATACATTCACAGCAGCAGTTATAATTGTAACAGTAGTAAGAATAATAATTGTAGTACAAGAAATCGTTATAATCCTAACCACAGTCATAATCATACGCCATACACATATAACAAGATACAAGTAACAATATTAGCTAGTATTGCTGCTATTGTCACTGTTGTTGTTATGGTTGCTATGACCATTATTTGTAGCAGTATTCCTCGTATGACTGAAACCTGTTATTGTTTCCTTATCACTATTGTTACTATTGTTATTATTCTGATTACCCGAAGCCCCAGAGCAGGGTGTTTTGGCTTTCGTTACCACTCGCCACGCCGGGGCTTCGCAAAGCACTGATGATCACTGATGCACTTCTGGCTTACGACATACCCTAGAATGTAAACCCTCAAGGTTGTCAAACTCTGGCAGCTTCTACAACCTTCGATCATGAAGCTCATTCTAAGTCAGGTATCATGGACTGGACCCCCCAAGCTACTCTCTAATACAT